TACATTCATGCATGTGACTGAACTTTCTCTTTCCCATCCTACTTTTCTCTGGTTTGACTCCAGTTCTGAGTAAACAGAAGCATAAAACTAACAGCTGCAAGATCTCACCACCAGTTCTCTAGTAACACAACTTGCAAGACAACAGAGAGCTGCTGCAATCCCTGCTGCCCTCTCAGAAACAACGTGCCAACCAAGCGCATTGCATGGAACACAGCTGCACTGCATCTCCTGAGAAGCATCATCATTTTAATGTCATCAAATTAATGTATTTCTACCTCCAGATCATTACAGATACTTACAAAAATAGGATAACTAATTAACCAGCTTAATATAAATCAACATGCATGCACACACACACAAAAATTTCTTTAAACAATATCAATTTTATCAGTGCCAGTAAGGTGATCTGCAGCAGAAATATACATCCTAATTACATTTCCTTACATAAGCAACATTAAGAATGGTCTACAGAGAAAACAGGGTTTATTTCAAGTTAACAGTTTACCTTTTAATGATTTCATGGCTTTTTAAATAGCACAGAGCTACATGTGTATGTATTTCAGACAGGTCCCTCAAACAAAACACAAGCATGAATGCGCTCTCTTCTGTGGGAGAAGCCCTCCTCACCTTTCCTTTCCTCTCATACCCATCCCTCTACTAAAAGGGTGATCAGACCATTCTGCAGAGCCTGCTCTGATTCTTGTCACTGCCACCTGTGCCAAAAGCTTCCTTGAGCCAGGTTGTGTCCCAGGGAATTTGTGCCATTTGAAGGGCTGCATTAGGTCACCTTGTAAAGGATAAAACTGCTGCCACAGGTACCCCGAGCAGGATGTGCTCTGGGTTTGTTTCCGGACCGCAGCATGCTCAGACCAGACTGTTCTCCAGTATCTCACTTCTCTTCCTCCTGAGCTTTCTCAGAGAAACTTTGGGCAATTATTCTCTCATGGAACAATGCTTGTTCAAGCCTGCTTTTGTTTGCATGCTACATGTTATCTCCCTTCTCTCTCTCCTCTCCTCCTCAATCTGCAAAGTGCCTATGAGAAGGATTAATAAAAAGGCACGACAACAGGCCCTTAGGAAGGTGATGACCTTGTATCATTCTGGCCCTGACCAAAATGTTTTGGTTTATTGCACTTGGTAAAGCAGGTTTTATTCCAAATGGGACACCTGCCAGCTGCAGCAATGCACATTGTATTACTCGTTCAGCAGCAGCAACTCTCACAACGATTTCTCAAATATCTGGCTGAAGTTGACTGTAGTTCTTCCAACTGTAACTTCAATCAGCATGGTATTTTCTAGACTTGGTTACTGCAATGCTCTCCGTTTTGCTGCAGAACTGCAAATTGCTTGGCTGTGTGAGTAAAAGATCCTCCCTGTGAACATAAAGGAGTCCAGAGGCACAAAAGCTAGAGGGGGAACGCCAATAACAGCATCAGAGAAATGGAGCACCCCGACCTGACTGCTCTCAGGGCTATCATGGGATAGCCCTCTTAACTTCAAAAGCTTCCTAAGCAGGTAGTAAAACAGAAATGATAAAAGAATTTTAATGTGAGAAAAGTGCATTCTAATTTTCTATAAGACAACTCACTGTCCATTTTTCAACAAGAATGTGCAGAAGGACTGAGGTTATGGTTGTCTCAAGTTCTCATGCCTAGCATCTCCACCCTTCACTATGTGAAAATTCAGCACGGAAGGATACATGTACCATATCACTTAACAGCGAAACTGAACATCCATGTGTAATTGCTATTCTTCCTCCTACTGTAAGTTATTACTAATTCTGCTTGTTGAAAAGAAAGCTGGAAGTATTCTAATAGGAACATCTCTATTTCTGTGATCAAGCTCTTACAGTCTGAAAGTACTGAAGATGAGGAACTTTTACCCTATGAGAATAATCATCCATTTCTTTGTAAGGTTTGGTACCTTCTTCCCAGTTGGCTAGCTTAATTGACAAATTAAGCAGAAGTATATGGCAAATAAATGCTGGGGAAAGACTCCTTTTTGAACAAAGGTGAGAAATGGAGAGTGATAAGGACAAAGTGACTTTTCTTAGATACGTAGGGACTTCCAGACAGGATAAATAAAAGGGGTGGCTTTCAACTTTGGCCCAAATTGATCTTTCATCCGACATACCTCTGAGAAATGCATTAAAGTTATTTTTACAATGCTTGCTGGAGTTCTATATTCTGCCCGTTTTCAGCAGCAAAGCAAATGTCAGCGCTGTGAAGCTCTGGAAGCTCACGCTGAATGTCAGAAACACTGAGATCTGTAACTTAGAAGCCTTGAACTTTTAGACCATAGGAGCCTTAATGCCTGGCAACTGCACACTGGGTTATAACTTGGAAAATGTCAGGAAAGAATGAATTGGGATTCCTTGTAATGCAAGTAGTGAAAAAGTATGTCCAAATGTGACATATAAAGCCCCAGAGCAAATAAAGTCATCCACATGAAGTCATTGCCAGCTGCTTCACAAGAGATGCTTGTACCTGCTGTAATGGAAGTCATAGGTCTAGCAATTTGAAATGGCAGTCACAGGAGATGGGAAAAGGAATTTTTAAATTATTTTTTTTAAACACCATCTGGAAACTACTGCAAGGAGAGTCACAATCAATGATGAATCTAGTAATATACTGACTTTATTAACTAAACTATACATGGCACACAAGGGGTTAGCAAGAACCAGCAGATTAAAATCAGGTTGAGTCATCATCTACTTTTTGCCCAGAAACAGTGCAGTTCATCACTGCATGCTGCACCAGAAGTGAACATTTACTTTTTCATGAAGGGATGACCAATCAAATTTGAAATATCAATGTCCTGCTTTGACTCAAATCATAAACTTGTGTTTATCAGAGGAAGGAATTTCCTTATTTAGACATAAAACGTATCTTATACATCCTACCTATGTGTGTGCCAATGGTCCAGAGCAAGTTGATCTAGCTTTGAAGTCAGCCCTGCTTGGAGCAGAAGGTTGGATTAGGTGACTTTCAGAGGTCCTTTCCAACCTAAAGCCTTCTGTGGCTCCTGTCTTGTGGACTTCACACAGGCTCCTACCCCACTCCCGCTGAATGTAATGGCAAACATCTACTGAATTCTACAGTGCACACTCAAACCCTCAGAGTTTAGTTAACACGCGGCCAAAGGTGAGCAGGCAGAATTGACATTTTAAGTTGTCTCAGAGTCAATTTACAGCAGCAACGGGAACCTGGACTGTCACATATGTAAAATTAAAACTGTGCTTACATGTACACAGAACTGCCCTGGTTTATCTTGAAAATGGGTATATATCTATGCTGCCAGAGGACCATTTTCTACACTATTTATGCAGCATTGGGTGCTGAAGCACAAATGCCTACCTAACATGGGAAAGGCGCACACAAAAGGAGCAGATAATTGCACTATACAGTAGTATCTCTTTTTACTCCTTAGGCCACTCTGAGATGCTTTTTAGAGTTCAATATGTGATGAAAGCAGCATGTAAATTCCACAGGGATAAACAGCTATTGCTCATTTCTATTTACACTACAGATGTCACACTGCAGGCTCACCTGATGCCTCATGGCAGTGTTTGGCCTTCGGTTCATAGTCACAAATTTTTAGGAGACAGAAAATGCTCATACTCGAGGCCTGCTTAACAGGCAGCTGACAAGGAATGGCTAACAATCCTTCCCGTCTTTCATGAGCACGCAACCTGCAGTAGCTGTTGTGACATTTTTCCGCTTAGACAAACACTGATTATAGAAAAATAGTAAAGCTTGGCAGTTTTCCTTTAAGCCCATGTTCTTACATGCCGTAATAGCTGTCCTTTTGCTGAATCTAATTTCAGTCTGCCATTCTACAGATGGCAGTTTTGGGCAATTCTCTCTCACTGCTCTTCTTTAGTGTTGAACCCAACTCTAGTCAGAAGTCAGTGCAGACCCTCCCAGTATGGGCACTAACAACAAGGATTGTCATGGCAGAACCAAACCACCTCCAAGCTGAGGAAATCGGTGATCCGGCTGTTCTTGGTATGCCCCAATCAGCAAGGCAAAGAACAGCAAATGAAGACTCGGCACTTGGAACAAACCATAATCCTGCTATCTCGTAACTGAAAGCAAACCCAACTTTTGTGACAACAGTGGAATGTTCAGCAGGAGACACCTTTAGGTGAAAGAGTCACAAAGCAAGATTTGAGCTCACTCTATTCATTTTAGACAACATGTCTTAAAGGCTACGGGTTTTGATATTCCTCTTCTCCCAAGCTGTGAAAAGCTCTGTTGGATTCAGTACAGCGCACAGCAAATGTGAGAGAGCAGAATCAGAACCTCCGTGCAAAGTACTACACAAGGTGAGGTTACAGACACCTTTAGCAAGTCTTTAAATTTCAAGTGCGAGCATATTAAGACTCCACCTTCACTTTTTTCTCAGAGCTCCTGAAAACTAGTAAGTTTCTCAGAATTTCTTCTTCCCAAGAACTGTCCACAATCTAAAGGAAAGTGATGAACAATATAATATTTGGAATCTTTTGTTTGAATCTAATAGGAATCTTTGTGCCCAGATTGAAATATGTATTTATCCGTGGACTTACCATATAAGTTTGGTTTTGCAGTTCTCTTTTTTCCCCTACACAAAATGTAAGGATGACCAAAACCAAGTCACCAGATGCTTGGAAATACTCTTGAAAATGTAATCTTTTGGAGACAAAATTCCTATTCATTAAGATGAATTAATATAATTCATGCTGAATTCTTACCTTATACAGATCGTGCAGGTGCACACAAAATAATCATAATAATTAAAACCCCATGATTAAGAAGACAAGTGAGAAATTATTGCTGGATCAGAATCTGCAAATACATGCAAGGTTACTAAAATATACAACGCTAACTATGATTTTTACTAAAGGTAACTGCACTACCAATAGGACTAATAGTCACTTCAACGTAAATGAAAATTATTCTTAGCTTTTTGTAAGGTAATTCGTACTGTCAGAAGAAAATAAGGGAAAATTAGTATTTTACCTGCCGAGGGGTCCTCTCCGATTTACTCCTGCACCATTCCCAATCTGTGAGTTCGGGTTTATGGCTTTCCTCGTGAGACAGCCTCCGTTCTGGTCCTTCAAAAAAAGTGGATTTCTCAAAATTTCTGACCTCCTCTCTGCTAAAGGCCCCCAGCCTGTCGGGCAGGAGGCGGTCGCTGCTGCTCTCCTGGCCTGGCTCCGCCCGGGCCTGGGGTCCCTCTGGGGCGCCCCGGGAGCTGTCCGCCAGGGCCGTGGTGCTGAACGCCGCCTCCCCGCCGCTGGCCCGATCGCCGCTTCCTCGCCGAGGTTCTTTGGAGTTATGGCTGTCGTAGCTCACCAGGTTGTGATAGGACGTCGATTTATCATCACCATCGTGGTGGTGGCAGTGGTTGTCATGGGATATTTTGTAGATTCCGTAGCCCTGCTGGAATGACAGGTTGAATTCAAATGCCCTCCGTTTGGCTAAGCAGAAAGGAAAGGAAAGTCACATTAAAAGAGTCCAAAGCCAAAAAGAAAAATGAGATGGCATACACAATGAAAATGACATTCAAAAACACGGAATAAATTATTTAACTACTGCTAGAGACAGGCAATTTTCCTTCCATAAAAAGAATGAATTGTCGAGAAGAAAGACTTCTCAGATAGTATGTTATTATACTGCCTTCCTAACGAATTCAGAAATTACACATTCCAAAGTTAATGGATTCCCAGAAACTGGTAGATTATCTGCCATTTTCAAAACCACACGATATATGATGTTTTATTGGATATACACAATAAGAAAATACCTAAATTTTTAAATACTCTATTTTCCCGAGCTTGTTTGAGCTATATCCCTAAAGGTGACAAATTTAGAAAATGATAAAACATCGCTGAGAATTGATAACTAAACCTGAATATCAATAATGAGGAAAAGCAGATTTTTACAATAAAAAAATAAATATTTGAAGTATTTACAAAATTAATTTTTTTGTTCTCCATTCTAAATTCAGTGCTCCAACTACTCTTACAAAGTAATTGAACAGTTAAATAAATAGTCTCAATTATTATTTATACCCTTTCATTCTTACTCCTTTCTAACAGAAACCACCTGAGATTCTCCATCCTCCCCCTTTTCATCTTACATTACGTAGTAACTAAAGAAGTGCCTTTTATTTAACTAATGAAATCATCTTCCCACCAAACCTTTCATGCTAAACTATAAAATAAACAGTATGGGGATACATTTATACAACTTCTGTATCTACTCAACAGGTTTTTTTGCTTACTTGCTTACTAGATTATATTTAATTGTGGGTGAAATTCTGATCTTAGCAGTCATTGCGTGAAAAGTTGAGAATAACCTTCAGCACAAATATCTAAAAGTGACAGATTTATTCTAAATAATTTTGTAATTACTACTTTTTCACCTGTTTTACATTTATCTGTCTAGATAGCATTATTAAAAATATCTGAAATAAACTGCCTTCTTGATGGATGCAGTCATCTTCTCCGGGAAAGGGGTTGAAAAGGCATCAGTTGCAGTACAAGCCATTCTGTACTTGGAGAACGTGTTCAAAGTAAGTGAAAGCCATGAACGAGAATGGCTTTTCTCTAAGATTCAGATGTTTCCCTAAAGGTGCAGCGAATGTCAGGAATGCATCCACTGAGGTCAGAGGACTTTCACTCCAGAGAATGTGAAACACCCAGATCCTCGGAAGTATTTAGCTCTTAACTTTTGTCATTGGACTATATGGTCCTTGTAGGTCCCTTCCAACTGTACTACCGTATTCTATTCTATTCTATTCTATTCTATTCTATTCTATTCTATTCACTCCATTCCAACTCCAACTTCCTAAATAAAACTTGTCAATGCTTTCAATTCCCCTTGGACCAGACCTCAAGAGACAACTATCAAAACAGCACTGCAGCTCTCACTTCTGAAAGATTGATGCATAAATGTATCATTTTTATATGCTGGTATAATTGCAGCATTATAAATAGGAAATAAAAATTATTTTATGTTGTTATTATTGATAATAATTACAAACATAAATCAAGAATCAGTTATTGTTCTGTATTCCCTCCTTGTAGGCTTCCAAACTGAAATTTTTACCAGAATGTATTTATTATACTTTAATGGAGATCTAACAAATACAGATGTATTTAATATCCTGTGGCAGATTTCTGTCCTTCAGATTTTCCATAATTACCTATTGTTGAACGGCTAAATTTTTTAAAGTTTGTACATTTTAAGTTTTCCCAGAAATTAATCACTAATCAAGATACTGAACTTACATTAGTAGGTATAATAAGCTTCAAACATTTTAATAAGACATATTTCTCTCAGAGTCATACTGAAAACATATTTTCCTCTGTAATTCCAAATGCAGTCCCTCTGTGCAGACCCACAAAGAGTAGAGATTGAGGTATTTTATAAGTAACTGTAGCCAGGAAATTTACAGGGAAGCCTTATGCAGTCTTTTAGCCACAAATATGACAATGTTATTCATGCTCACAGAAGCCTAAATGTGTTTTTAACTAGAGAAAAGTTCATGGAGTGACAGCTGTATTTCTTTGTCTTCTATTTCTCTTACTGCGTGTTACCACATGACCAAGTTCTTTATGAGAAGAACAAAAGTCGTGTAACTGCAGGAGACAGGCTGTGGCAGTCAGCGTGCGCAGGGCTCCTCCAGCTAGTTTGACATGGACCCAGAGAAAACCCAGGGCTTTAGAAGATTCCAAGATGGTTACCAGTGAAGGTCTGGCATCCTCTGTTACACAAAGGTAACCTTTCAAGGTAAACTTTATAAACACGTAGGGAAATATTTTTAGGTAAAAGCTGTGTAGGAGTTCCTCAGCTTTCAACAAGCAGCATGAACACAGTGAGGCACAGGCCCCTCCCAGAACTCACGTCCTTTGCTATTTGCTTATTGGTGTCGCTGTGATTTCTGCTTAGTAGCAGGTGTACAAACAACAGCTCCTCTCCTTCTTACAATTTGCTCACAATTAGCATGTTTTTTTTCCTACACAACATTAAACATGCTTAGCACGTTCCATGTATTTGATTAGTAGAAGTCAGATTTGGTATATACATCCTTTCCCAATGCAGCAGAGGAGAGAGAAACTAGGATTCAGAGTCCATCAGACTCTACTAAAAGGTCTGACAGCGACCTGGGAAAATCAGCCAAGCTTCTGTGCTGCAGCATCCACTATTTCCATCCAGCTGTCTCACATTAATGTTGTGAGTCTCACATATTGTTCTGAATAACGTCTACACAATTCAGGTAAATGACTCAAGGAGCACAAAGCACTGTTACTGACACTACCTCCCTCTGCTCTTTACTACAAGATACATTCCAGCTGCGTGTCACCCTTCCATACTTACTTTTGAGTTCTTCTGAAGACACCGCATATGAATTCCTCCTGCAATTAATGATGCAGCCACAGGGCAGGTGGATCCAGTGTTCTGACAGGACAAATACTGGGGTGACTGTGGCAGCCAGCAAGGTCAGCAGGAAGCTAAGTGTCTCAAATGAAAGGCTTTGAAAGCCAGTGATGTGCTGGACAACCATTTGTATCTGAAAGGCAGAGCATTTTGAAATTTAAATCGCTTCAGGTACACGAGATACTTCCAGGAATAAACAGAACATCTCACTGCGAATATGACACAACTAAAAGACACAGGTTGTCATTAATGTTTGCTGAGCCTAACAATTTTGTTTCTAACAGAGTGGAGAAAACACACTGACAGAGGCTCTCCTCCTCATTCTGCATTTCTCAGAAAAACCCTTGCTTAAGCTAAATATAGATGCAGGAGCACTATTAAAACAAGCAACTCGGAATCCAAGCAGCTCAGAAGAGACTGTGAGCTCAGTCTCTCCTGCATGGTACTGAGGAACACCAACTCCAGATGGGGAATAGGAGAGAGAACTTGGCACCGCACAGGGCTGTGCTGCAGATGCTCTTGAGAGAAGCTCAGATGCTGAGTCTACACACACCCTGGGGACAGGGGTAACACTGCCCCAGACCCATGTTCCCTGTTCTCATCAGACTCCTTTCTAATTATACATGAATATACCTGTTCCAAAATATACCAGTGCATGCACGTGGACAGTACTCCTTCCCACCCATCCCACCACCCCAATGCTACAGAGACTACAAAGATGCAAGCAAACCTCATTGTAGCTAACCAACTCCTATTTTTTAACCAGTCTGGCAAAGGAGAGCTGTGAGGAGGGGCAGAAGAGCCAGCTTAGTACAATTCACAGACCCCATAATGCTGAACCAATGCTTGCCAGAGAGCTGGCAATACAAAAGGGTGGACCTTATTCACCCCCGTATTCAGGAGACACAAATGATGTGATGATAGAGTAACATACTGATGAATCAGGCTCTGCCAAACCTGCTGAAAGCCAGTTAAATTAATGTAGTGACCTGCTTATAAGGACTTTTGCCTGCACAAACTATAAGGAGCAACTGCAATGGCTACTGTTCATCTGTTTCAATACATGGCACACCAACTCCCATCCCACTTAAAGGTAAGTAAACATTAGAAAGTAAAGCAATCTGACGATTTACCATCATTGGAAGCCAGAGAATGACTTTTGTCAACGCAAGAATCAGTGAGAATCGTTTCTGGGCAAAGCCCACCATGAAGCTCCTGCTCTGTACGTTGTTCATGCAACGGGGCTCGAGTGCAGTGCTCTCAGCCACACCTTTCCTAAAAACCGCCTCTGAACTTGGACATGCATTTTGGAAATGCTTCAGGATTTTATCCACAGGGTCCACCGGTGACAAAGACGGGGTAGCAGTACTGCAGCCTGCAGGTGTCCCAGGGGTGATGTAGCCTCGAGAGATTTCCTGGTAATCAATGTGTAATAGCTGTTGCTCATCTGAGCACAACAGCTGGTAAGTTAGAGGAACAGAGAGCACTGTGAGGAGGCAGAAGCACAGCGAGTAGACAATAAATAAAAACAAGATGTAGGAACTGGTACAGTCCATGAAGCAGCCCCAGGAGGTAGGGGTGTACTTGCCCCAACCACAGAGAGGCAAAATGCAGATCAGCAAACTGAAAATCCAAATAGTAAAAATGGCCCGTACCATGCTCACTCGTCGCTTGGAAGTGCTGCAGCTCATTGTCTCACTTTTGTTGATAGTGTAGAAGTTGTAAGAAACTATAAGAGATCCTTTCAGGTTGCTAGAAATGCCCTGGAATAAATAGATAAGCGCTGAGGTGGTGCACAGAGGCTGTGGGAGGACATTACTAGACCACTGGGTGAGCATGAAAATGATCACTGGCACAATGCTGATCAAATCATCTATCGACAAAGAGGTCACAATCATTGAAACAGTGGTTTTGTTTTCCATTTTCAGCAGGGAAACTAGTGAATAAATGCTGCCCAGAAGTGCTGTGAATGCAATGATAAAAGTCAAGCAGAAAAGAAAGACATTCAAAGTTCTCTGCTCACTAGGCTTATCCATAACACTATGATTTTCAGCAAAGAAGCTCGTCCCATTGAATGACAAATTACTAGGCGTTACCGACATTGTCCTTGGCAAATTTTTTTCTTTGCCTTCTCACTGACTCTGCAAGTTTTCACTAGCTGAAACCAGAACTGTTAGCGCCACATCACAAGTTTCTTCATTTTCCTAGACTTTTGTGGCATCTGATGAAGAAATATTCAGGTGAAAGCACCCTTGATAACCAGAACAACTCATGCTCTCGAAAAATCAGGCAACAATGAAGCATCAAAGGTGCTGAAAAAAATGCAATTCTTCATAATCCTTTCGGTACTGGAAGATGGTTAATTTAGGCTCCTCAGGTAATAACATGCCATTCACTCTTGACAGATAGCAGGCAATGTGCCTTACTCACGAGTTCAGTTGAAACGAAGGCAGAATATCAGGTATGTTCAAGCTCTAGTAGCTCAGGGAGAAATATAGTAGAAAGAAGAGGCTGTTGGATTCACCCTGTGCTGTTCTGAGCTGCAGGAGGGAGGAGTCAGATGCAAGCAGGATAGCGGAGACGAGGGGAGTGAGTATCTTCTCAGCCCGAGCTGCCTCTTAGCTGGATCAGAAGACTGAAACAGTGTCCCTGTTAAGCCACACCTCCGATGCTGACACTGAAATCCAATGCAAATACTCAGATCTGATGTCAGCCGTAAATGTCATTCCCGTAAAGCCCATGGCTGCTCCGGGGCTGTGCATCACGAGCCAGAGTGCTGCTTTTATTCCTTCACACTTCTGTACTCCGAGCTTAGCGAAGGTTAAAAGCTGCAGGAGTTTTTTATGAAGATGAAACAGAAGGGGTGTGTCTGCTCTCCCTTTTTGTATTCCTACTCCCACGGCAAGTGCACATGTGTGTGTGCATACACTGCACTTGGATGCTAACCGTATAATTAGTGCCAATCACTCATTAATGACCAGTAACTGCCATGCATGTCAGGCAGGTGTTGATTGCCAATGTGGCATCTCAACTCAGTCTGGGTTTTATAAAACTTTAATTCCCCGCATGATTCAAATCGGAGCCGCATCAAATGCTGACTGTCTGCTCCAGCTGAGTACATGGATAGACTCACAGCCAAGTGCATTCTGGCACATTATGAATGTTTTCTCTTGAGAAACTGCAATACTGGTGAAACTTATAAGCTGACAAAATTTCCAACACTCTGACATTAAGTGGACAGATAGGTTCCATGCTATCTTCTTGGAGGACTCTGCCTCTTTTTGGCACCACTTTTGAGTTCAGATATGCAATGGGGATGCAGGACAAATATTTTCTGATTCTAAGTGATATTGTAAGGCTGCTACAATTACTTGCTAGTCTGGGTAACATTACAAATCCACTCAGTTAGAAATCTGTGTGATTAACAACCCGATCCCTGCTCAATTCTACCCATTTTGAAATGCATTAGCTGTGTCAAGCCAACAGCTGGATTGCTCGTGTGTTTTCCCTCCCCCAGGGCAGGGCAGGGTTGGAGACAGCAATTCTCAGAGGTGCTGAAGCCCCAGACAGGACAGACAGAGGAAGAGAACGCAGGGCTGCAGCTGTACCATGTGACAAGCACCCGAAATGCAAGAATCAAGGCTAAGGGCGACAATTTCTCTGAATGACCTCTCTCTCATTTCCAATTTCCAAGCTGCCCTGCCACGATACCTGGAAGGCTTATCCCCCAAACCAGGGTAAGGATTCCAGTCTACCCCCTGTGCCCCATACAGCCATAGCACTGTCCTCAGAGCAGGACCTGTTGTAAAGCCACGTTCCTCCTATGCAGCGTGACCAGGAGCCTTTTCCTCCCCATTCTCCTTTTCACATCGCAGCTGACTCTTGAGGATTCTGCATTATTTATCGGGACCAACTGTCAACCCCCATGTCAGAAATTTGCCAAAGAGAGGAGCATCCATCCTGCCTTCCACACAAGGCACAGTTCTGGATCTGGACCATCCATCTGGCCTTTAACTGTACAGGATTTGACTTGGCTTTTGTGATTTATCTGTCCTGCTGGACTATTGATTGTTAATCTGTGCTGTGCCAGCTAAAGGCCAGGGCTCATTTCCTTCTATTTACAAATCACAGTCACCTCTGCCCCCGCAAGTCAACTTTAAATTAAGGACAGTGTTCTAAATCTTAAGATTAACAGTGTAAGCGTGGTCAGAAGTACCGTTAAGAGATAAGAAGAGAAAGAAGCATCATTCACCCTTGTTTGGACCTTTATTTTTTAACCTGGCTGCCTCAGGAAACATGCGACCATGCCTAAGCGTGGATATAGGCCTGTCTGTGTCTCTCTCTTTCACTCCCCATCCCTCAATTCCATTTGACAAAATGACCCTTTTCATCTCAATCCGACAGTGTCAAAGTGACTAAGTTCCCACAACTTTTATGAGAAAGAGCAGATGATCTGCTGCAGGCTGCAGCAGAGTTCCCTCTTCACTGGAAACTAGCGAAGACAAAGCAGAGGCTTTATAAATACTCCAACCATAAAGAAACCTTCACGTGAAATTTTGATTACCCTGGATGCTAAACTGCAAGAAAACAACTTCATTCACTCTGGCACGACTTCGTGCTTCCTCGTCTGTGATCAGTTACACTCCTCTTAAATTCCCTATTTCCATTGCCTGTGTCATCCTCATCTGCTCTTGCCACATAACTGCCAGGTGTTTAGAAACAATTTTAATGCTGCTTGGGAAATTTATTTTCCCTACTTTGGAAAATTTTTCTTCTGTATCCTGAGTCATTATAAATACACTGGGTATGCAATAGAGCTGGCAGCAGATATCTACCACAATTTTTCTGGAAGTTCCCTCAGTACAATCCTCTTCATGTACTTTTTTGACCTTGCTTTATTGGCTGTTCATATACAACCCCTGTGCCTCTCTGTAGCTTTTTGGACACTTTGGTAAGAGCAGTCCATTCTGTGTCTTCTGCTTGTGTTTGGAATGAAATGCTCGTCAGTGTTTTTAAGAAGACAGACATTTTTATTTATGGCCGTACCCATCCAAGGCAGATGACGTATTACTCACTTCACTTTCTCTTCCCACAGAATGTATTTTATTCTATGAACTGCACCCTGCCATTCTCTGTGGCAGCTTTTACCATAACTTACAATATGATGAAATGTTCTTTCCTCTGGTCATTTCATAGTTATAAACCAAAGGTTTTAGGAGTGATTCAGAAGCGATTCAGCAAATTCAAACAGTTTCCCTTCTTATTTTTCTTCCTTTAACGTGACTGATAAATTTTGATAAAACATGTACAGAAAGAACATGTACATGTACATGTAAGAAACAAGCAACTCCGTAAAGAGGAGCATGATTTTCCACACAGCTGTGCCTCCAGGCAGTTGACTTGCATGCCCAGTTAAGGTCTAAGCTCTGAAATGTCTCTTGTGACTGGGGCAAATGAATCTGAATTAAGACTCTCTGGTCTCTTCCAAAGGATAAGTTTATTCTGCAATCTTTCAAAATTTACAGGAACACTATGTTTGCAATTGTAATTTTGCTCCCAAATTTCCCTGAAATTTGTGAACAGACTCAACTAGGTGTGGGGTTGGGAAGGCCAGGTAGGTGAGCAGAGGCAGACAGTGTCATCACAACCCCCATTCAACCACATTTTCTAAAGAAACAGTGCTAGAATGGGATAATACAGCACTGCCAAAAGGCCACAGGTAACATCTTCTGGAAACCAAAAGAAAAAGATACCTTTATCTGCTGCTGTATCCTTGGTTTGGACTGTGTCAAGGCAGGGATGCATTTGTAGATTATTCCCTTTCTTCTCTGCATTTAGGCTCCTGAATTATGGGATGTTTCAAATACAAATACTGTCCTTTGCAATATAGGTATATATTCTTTATCCTAGTGTGAATTCTCTTTGCTAAGGAACAATCAAAAAGAGAAAATACATTAGGCATGGAAATCTCCTCTCTGGCCTCATTTCAAACAGCACTGCACAACGATGCCTCTTTAAAGGAAGAGTCAGCACAACTCAACACTCTATGAAAGGATTTCTAAGAGACTGCACGTAACAATTCAGGAATGCTTGTAAAGAGAATCAAATATTCACCATTCATAAAACACAACCAACAAATAGGGTATTAAAAATTTATCATGTTTAGTGTATGAGTCACATTTTATTTTCATACCTTGCACTAAGCTAAGCTTTGACATATGGTTTTGCTTCCTTTTGTCACTCAAAAGAGATAACAACAGCAGTTGTACAAATATTTCATTTCAGAAGGTGAAATAAGCTCTGTGCCAGGCATAAATGTATATAAATAAAATTCCATAAATATCTTTGTAATTTATTCCTCAATAGTAAGTGAAAAACATGTTGGTTTTTTATCTAGATTTAACAGACTTTTAAAAATATGTCAAACTAAGTGATCATTTCTGGTCATTGGACTCAGACATCACTTCCAGATACAAAAAGGTTAAACTGCAGCTAATTATTTCATCTAGTTATTTGCCTCAGATGAATTAAATCAATGGAGGCTTCTAGTAAAAGGCAGATACTCTTATTCTTAATCCATTTCCGCTGCAGCTGTATTGCCGTGCTGCAGGAAAAGGGTGCTTACTGATTTGGAGCAATTAGAGCAATGTAAATCAGGAGTAACTTCATTAAACCTAAAAATATGATTTAACGTACATGCTCATTATGGGCTAGACTGTACCGGCTCTAACTCCAGCGACATAGAACCATGCTGTGCAGATACTCCTTTTGAAACCAACGGGCTATTGCCACTCGTAGCACCAGGTCACAGCCTGTCCCTCCATGAGGCAGCACCTCCCTGAGCAGATGGGCCAGTGTTAAGCAGCACCCATTATCAGAGCTCCCTAACTTCAGGTTTCTGTTTCTGTGCTGTAAACTTAGACAGTAAATTGAGACTGTAATGAACTGAAGGTTTCGGGACAACTACAGAATTAGTAAGAGACAAATGGAGGTAAAAGTGAGTAAGCCCCAAAGTGTCCACTGGGTGAGGTACAGTCACGGTGGGCATCTTTTCCCAAGAGTTTCAGAAGCTGATAAAGAGGTTGCCATTGGGAAAGGAAAATAGTGCCAGCACTTCAGAGAGGCTGGCAATAAACAAGGTGGCAGAGAGATGAGAATGAATCCATCCGGGTTGCACTGTATGCACACTACCAGAGATGATTATGAGCTGTTATTCAGGAAATGTCCGAAGTGGGACCAACTAGAAGAGAAACAAGCAATTATAACATAATAATTCCAGGATGGCAATGCTGAAAGGGAAGAGACATTAAGTATGTAGTGTATACAAGGAGGAGAAAGGGACAATTCTAGTCAGGAAGGCGTTATTTCTCTAGTGGATGGCAAGGCAGAGAGCTGGTAGCAAAATCTGCAGCTACCAAAGTAGAGAGAAGCTCAATTCTAGATAGTGTGGAGAGTAAAACATTCTGCTAGGTGTGGCGTGATTGCTCTCCTGACACAAGACACTTCACAGTGTCACTTTTATTGAGCAGCCCTGG